GGACATCCTTGGTACTGGAAGGGAACAATGAGCAACAACTCGAACATAGCCTTGATCTTGTGGACGAAAGGAGAGATGCAGCAGCAATTCGGCTCGCGGCATACCAACAGCAGGTGTGTAACAGTTATAACAAGCGTGTCCGGTACCGTAGGTTCTTGGTTGGCGATTGGGTTATGAAGCAGAAGACAGCGTATGTTAAAAAGTTGGAACCCAACTGGACAGGACCCTACAGGATTACCGAAGTGGTAGGGAAGGGAGCTTACTAGTTGGCTGAAGTTGATGGGCGTCCTATTGCACGTCCATGGAATGCCATCCACCTCAAAAGGTATTACCACTCTCCAACTTTGTCAATATCGTATGTATATTTCTCTTTTTATAACAAGGGGGATCCATACCTATATGCCGTGATGTTACCACAGTGGTACGGCTATTACAATTACAGTTGATTATTACAGTTACAGTTGGCAATTTTTAATAATTTCCATCACAAGTTTTTCATTTCAATTTATTTCAATGAAATTCAAGTTTCCCTCTTTGGGATTGTCAAAATTTCCCTTGATCAACTTCATTGTTGTTATGCAAAGAGTAAACACTGATTGGCGAAAGAAAGCAATCATGCCAAGTGGATCTTTATGGGTGGCTGGTTTAGTTTTTGTATTACTATTGTCCCACATCATTTGAAAATAGAACGAACACACAATTCGCCTCGGATCTAAGTGTCCAAGACAGCTTCGGACCCTAAGTGTCTTATTCAGCAGTATTCCTCCACGACTTAGTGCCGAGGAACAATTCGCCTCAGATCCTAAGTATCCGAGACAGCTTCGGACCCTAAGTGTCCTATTCAGCAATATTCCTCCACGACTCAGTGCCGAGGAATAATTCGCCTCGGATCTAAGTGTCCGAGCCAGCTTCAGACCCTAAGTGTCCTATTCAGCAATATTCCTCCACGACTCAGTGCCGAGGAACAATTCGCCTCGGATCTAAGTGTCCGAGACAGCTTCGGACCCTAAGTGTCCTATTAAGCAATATTCCTCCACACTCAGTGCCGAGGAACAATTCGCCTCGGATTTTAAGTGTCCGAGACAGCTTCGGACCCTAAGTGTCCTGTTCAGCAATATTCTTCCACGACTCAGTGCCGAGGAACAATTCGCTTCAGACCTCTGGTGGCCGGATTAGAACTTTTTCCTCCGGACTCCAAGTGTTTAATACCCTGTGGATATATCATAAATTCATCATGATCCACCCCACATCAGGAACACACGAGAAAGAAAGAGTATGTATACGTCTACTGCAGGTAAGTCAAAGGCAAGAAGAGTTCACTTAAACAGTTAGATCATTGTCCATATGAATCATCCTGAGATGTCAATTAAACTGTTGAAATGATCTCCTTCTTCCCATCATCCTTACTTTTTCTCGGATAGCATAAATCCGAAGCATAAAGACAATGTGTTTTGTTTGTCATAAAAACATTACCAGTCAGAAAAGGTATGAACAATATCAAAAGCACACAGCAAAAACAAATCAGGTATTAAAAGCCTAAAACAAAAATTATATTTATTATCCCAAATATACTGTCAATAAAAACAAAATACATGGTTCTACTTCCTCTTCGGATCGAAGAGAGTAGATTCAAAAGCATCCACTACAGTAGGACTTGGGGTAGGAGGAATTGAAGCCGCAGGGGCAGAAGAGCTAGGAGTACCCTTCAGGTGCGCCTTCACCATCTCGGCAAAGCGGATTTCAGCTTCCAAAGCCTGTGGCCCTTCATCATATGGGAAGTGCACCCCCACCTGCTTGTCAAAAGCGTCCGAATCCATTGTCTTAGGGCCTGAGCCCTGATTATAGCCAGACCGGAACGCTTTAGAACTAGCCAGGTGTGCCAGACAGGAGTAGCGCCCCTGCATTTGCTTCCCCGCCTTGAAGCAAGTAGTAAGAGCCTCGGTCAGGCGTTGAACTTCGGCCTGAAGAGAATCCACCTTAGCCTCAGAGGCAGCCAACTGCCTCTTATACACATCCTTGGCTTCAGTAGCTATCTTCAGATTGGTAGAGGCATTGGTGGCTCTCTTCTCTGCATTGTCAAGATCCTTCTCCAGCTTCTTGATGGAGAGGGATTAGGCTTCAGCAGTGGCGCAGAGGGCCATGGTGTGGTATAGACTTTGTATAAAAAGATAACAGAGGAACAAATATGAGTATAAATGGAAACATAAGTAAGCAAGAGTAACATAATTCTGAAGGAGCAATACGAACCTCTATGGCCCGGACCGGGGCAGAGGGGAGTAGTTGTTCCAACCCCATTTGGCTGATGGCTTCCTCGTCCTTTGGGAGCCACATCCCTCGGGTCACAGCCAATGCAGCTGAAGGGTCTGTGATCACAGAATCCCCTGAATGCAGGACTGACTTGTCAGCCCTGGTAAAGGAAGGAGTCCAAGGAGCCCCAGTTTCAGCCAGAACATATGCCCTGACTTCATCTTCAGGTTCGGCCTCTCCAGCCTTTTTCCCTCTGCTTTTAGAAGGGACCTTGCCCTTGCTAGAGGATGGGGGGTTGAGACGAGATTTCTTCATTGGTGGTTCCTCAGCCTCCACCTCACCCTCAGTAGACCTAATAACGACCAAGGGTTGGGCATCTTCGGCTTTCTTTTTTAAAGCCTCAGCCCTCCGTATCTCCTCCTCAGTCATGGGGAAACTATCAAAGGATGGTAGAGACAGATCCATGAGGTCTGCAGCAACAGCACTGGAGGCAATATCCTTGAGGTTTGAAGAAGTTAGCAGGTCCTCGATAGGCGAGGGGTCACTCCAGACTCGTTCCTCAAGAAAAGAAAGTCTGTTCCTTGCTGCAGAGGATGGGAATGTAGCTCAAAAAACACCAAGAAACTCATAAATACGGCGAAACATTAAGACTTGGCAAGGAAAACAGCCAGAACACTTGGTATGAAGGGAGGTTAAGTATTCTATACCTAATTTCCCGAACTTGCGCGGGATGGGGAGCGTAATTGATTGGGGCACGAACCATTTTCCTTTAACTATAACCATCCTTTCTTTCCACTTCTTCTCGGATGAAGGAAGGTTCGTGCATATCCTCTGATGAAGGGGAGAGGTAAAAAAGAAGCGACCAGGCTCGGTCCCATGCTTAGATATATTATAAGTAAGCAGAAGGTAGACAAAGGTCAAATCCAGAGCCTCTAATTTCCGGCGCACCAACAGTGCCGAAAGGATGCGAAAGAAATTAGGATTTACCTGAAAGGGGGCAAGACCTAACTTGTTGAAAACTAAATGATAGAAGGGGTGAAGAGGGAACCGGAGGGCGCTAAGATGCCCTACCGAAAGAAGCAACTCACTCTCTTCAATTCCCTCGCCGGAGGTAAAATCGGCACCCTCGAGATATTCTGCAATTTCTACTCCCTCAGGAATATCAAATTCTTCCATTACTGAAGCAATAGAGAACTTGATGCGGCGAATAGAGATGATTGCTTTCCTCTCTTCATGAGTAAGAACATTACCAGAGCCTGAGGTGGATGTCTCGGCTGGAAGGGGGGAAGTACCTAATTGATTCAACGAAAGACGATCTGTAGAAACCCTAGGAGGGGGAGCCCTAATGCGAACGGGGGAAGATGAAGGTGTGGATTCAGAATCCCCAATGTCTATACGTTCGGGAGTAGATGAAGTACTCATAATGAAAGATTGAAGAGAAAGATGCGAAAAAAAACTAACCTGACAAGGCGATGGAATGAAGAACGCAGGAGTGCAGCTAGGGCGAATGTAACTCTTGCAGAATCTTGTACGACGGAGTAATAATAAAAGTCCTCAAACCGTCTCTGAAGTAAAGTAAAAAACCGGTTTCAATTCCCTCTTTAATGGGAGCCGTCACTCAATTAAAAATGAAATTTGGGGCAAAGTGTAGAGGGAAAAAAACTCCCTCCAATAAGAAGCGTACACGTCATCACTACACATATCTACATTCCAAGGACATATAAGGCCCATCATGCTCAAACCCAAATTGAGGGTATTTTTAGCCCAAGACCATTGTTATTTGTCTTCCAACCTCCATCAAGGCCGAATCAAGAGGTCATCAGCCCAACTTGTTAATATTTAACATCCGGTCCGTTACTCAAGCCCAGCCGGATCAAAGTATGTTCAGCCCAGTTATTCAAGAATGCACAAGTCCTACCAATTGAAGGATTTAGGAAAATTCTGAGATAGGAAGTTCTGTATAAGGCAAATTCTATGCATGGAAAATTAGACAATGGAAAGAACTCTATTAGTAAAGAATGTTTATATAGAAAGAATTGGAGGACAAGCAACGCGAGTCCTACCATAATTTTACAATCTTTTGTATATAAATAGAGGCTTAGACCTCCAATAAAGGGATCAAGCAATTCTACGCTTCGACATATATTGTTCTTGTTTATCTTTACTATTGATTGAGTGAGTTGTTTTATTTTTCTTAATCATTATTGATTGAGCGAAATTTTGCACCTACACCTGGTAAGAGAATTTCACCCATTTTAACCATAAAAATAAAAAATAAAAAATAAAAATCATCTAGGGTCATATGGCCTAATGCTATCTTCTCTATCTTTCAAAATGGATGATAAAATATCAAATGGATGGTAAGATATCAAGTCTTGTTTGTTACCAATGACAACTAAATAAATAAATAAATAATAAATATTTGATGAGGTAGGTCCCACAACAGGACCCGAATGAAGCCTACTTCATCTGTTTCACCTTTTATATAATAAAACCTAGAAGGCCTTGCATAAGCAACCTGCATCATTTTAGAGGGCTCAAATAGAGAACAAAATAAAATTTCATTTTAGAGGGCTTATGAAAAAAAAAAAAAAACTTTGATAGACAAATTACTGAGTGGCAAAAATCGCATTCATTCTAAAAATATTCTCTGCACTAAAAATAAAAAAAAAAAAACAACAAATCACTGCCTGAAAAAAAAAGAAAATAAAAAAAAGGAAAAAAAAAAAAGGGACATATGGGAAAGGATGATGTTCACACGAAAGAAACAAGTCATATCATTCTCATTCCACAAAATCAAATTCAAATTCAAATTGCTATAGTTTCATATGCAAGTTTTAATTGGATAACATGCATGAACTACAAATTAAATTATATAAGTATACATAGAAAATTTTCCCACATTTTCAGTTGCCTGCCTCTTGTGAATTACAGAGTAAATTTGCCGCACAATCACATAATGCAATATCCTCAAATATTGCTATTTTTCTGATATGATTATGTAGTCCGATTCCTTCAGAGGCTTTAAATCCCACGAAAGAATTTGAACATATATACCTGCCAGAATTAAGGAGTGCTTTTAATCATTTCCTTGGTGACGGCATTGGAGAAGTTGGAGGCTTCATGTCCTCGTACCTGTTTATTATGGAAAAAAATAAATAAAAATGATATACAGTTTGCAAAATTTTGGTTTAAAGAAGATCCAGACAGTGGGAATTGATTAATTTTTCTGCAAGAATAATTTAAGTTTCTTTGACAGAATGCCACAATGGAATGATGGATCGTGGTTACCCTCATTCATAAAATGAAAAACATAAAAAATCAAAACCAAAACCAAAAAGAGGAACTAGAAGAAGGCTTACATAGTAAAAGGTGAAAGTGGCCTCCCTTTTGCTTCATTAGAATGCTGTTCATCCCCTGGCTTATCGGCAGACGCAGTATGAGCTGTGCTGTTTCCCGACACAGTAGCTATCTGAGATCCACCGTCCAAGGTAGACATTGACGGGAGTGAAAAGGTTGGTGCATTAGGAGATGGTGATGTTGGGGGCTTGAGGTCATCGTATCTGAGAACATAAGGTGCCACAGTGGATTAGGAAGCAATTGAAAGGGGAAAAAAATTAAGAATAGAAAGACGTTTTTGCAAAATTAATAAAAAAATTCTTAGACAAGTCAAGAAAGAGTAACCACCTAAGAAATGGGACTTCATAAGGGACATGAAGCCATGAAGGCAGGGGTATCATGAGAAATATTAGAATAAAATATTGAAGAAACGTCACAAAAAAAAAAAAAAAGAATAAAGAGATATATCAACAAAATTTAAAAAGACTCAAATCTTTGCTGTAGCATAGAGAAGCCACTAAATAATAGAAGTAGTGATACTAGAGCCTTAAAATCAAATCTTTGTGATTTTAAGAAAAGCAAGTTTTCAGTTTGTCATCTTACCCATTATATATGTTATTGCCATCATGTCATGAGTCGAACTAATAAAATTTTAGAAAGAAACATTTTCACTAAACTTGTCACTGTTAAGAGAAGCATGTCCACTGTGTCCAGCAGCATACTTTATCGTACTTCATACACAATCCTTAAGAAAATGTTTGCATCCTTTTGTACGTCACCTCTTTTCACAGTAAGTAAGTACTTGCAAATGTGTGGGTGCTTTTAAAATTTTTAAATTTATTGTTTGTAAAAGAAAAAAAGAGATGATCAAGTACTCACTTCAGGATTTTTATGTCAATTATAAAATAAAATGATAAACTAAAATAGATGATGCCTATCAAGGCCAACTCATTTATTATGCTCTTTTTTTTCCAAGTAACATTTATCCTAAATATAATACAGTGCAATACAGTTGCAGGTTATAAATATTTAGTAAAACCCCTTTGGCATGATAATCTACGATTTGGTAATAGTGGCCGCTGCAACAGCATAGGAGATTCCTGGTATTTATTGTGTATATTATTTCATGAAACAAAAATTATGACAGTACATGTAAGCATAAAAATTTAAATTGGCACCATATACATAAAGAAACTAGAACCATTATAAAGTTATGCATGGTAAGGTGAAAGATTAAAAGTGAAATCTTGGGGAGGATCTTTCTCAACATCAGAGGAATTTGTTATCTTTGCCAAATCATTGCCTTTGGTAAATTGTGATACAAACTCAGCTGGCGTTGGGAAACTAGAAGGTATCTCTTTTGGTCCACTTGGTGTAGGGCTTGGAGAGGTAGGTGGTTTCAAATCCTCATAACTATTATTCAATCAGCTCGAGGAAAAAAAAAACTTTGTTTCTTGAGTTTTAAAGCACAAGGAAATGACTTACGAGGTGTAAGGAGAAAGAGGCCTTTTTATATGCACTTCTACTGCAGCTGATATGGACTCAACAGTACCAGCTGTCATTCCTGAGGCATTGCTAGCCATAGTATCCACAGGAGTAGGCTTTGACAATGCTTCAATGACATTAACATCTTTCTGACCACCAGGTGGGTTTGGGGTTGGGGATGTTGGTGGTTTAAGATCATCGTAATTGTAATGATATTAAAGATGATGACAACAACAAAATTTCTATATCAATGAGTTGCTATTTTTTGAGAGTTCTATGCAGCATTTATACAAGTCTGTCTTCTGTTTTCTAACACTTGCTCAAATCAATAGCATCATTGTATTACATAAGTGAACACATTTCTAATTTTATCGGGTGACTATACTGTTTTCACCACGGCATTCTAATAACTTGAATGTATGCATAAAACAATGGAAGAATTCAATTTTGACTCACACAATATATGGAGAGAGTGGCCTTGTTGGAACTGCTTTTACATTGGCAGGTTCTTTCTTGATAGGAGTGCTTGGCGTCTCAGATGCAACGCCCTTAGAAACTGCAGGCCCAGGCCCATCTGCAGCAAAGGATTCCTGACAACACCCAAAAGAAGTTCTTGTGATTTAGGTCTGAAATTCATGTTCTCAAGTGATAGTCAGGAAGTGAGCCAATATGAAATGTGAAAGGTTAGCATACAAAGTCCTTCAAAAAAATTTAAAATCTAAAACTACGATCTTTATATGATCCTTCATGCTTATATATATATATATATATTGGATTCATCTTGCATACTTCATCGAAAATGGATACACATGTAAGATTATTTATTTAATTGTGGCCCACATGATTTGGACATGTGACATATTACTTGGTGAGTAAGTAAATAGATATCAATTAATATTATTTATTTTTGGTCAACTTATAATTACCTTTTTGGTAATTACTTATTGGAGAAGTGTTTTCCTTTCTTATTCCTTACTTTGATGGAAAGTAGAATTATGTTACTATAAGGAAAACTGGTCCTCTCTCTGCCTTTATAAAAGTGCATATACTCCATCAATTATGTACAATTAATGAAACAACACGTAAAAGTTTTATGTGTGCAAAAGGCCAAGAGAGAGAAACCAGTTTCCACGTTTGCCTGTTGATCAGAGTTGCAGATTAGTTCGTGGTTAAAGGATCTAGAAGTTGGATTTAATCTCAACAAGGTTTGATATCGTGAATCGAGGTATTTATATCTAACTATTTATTTATGCATTATAGATATGTGAAAATCATGAAGTTCTAAGATTATGGGATTCATGTTTATTTGTGATGAATGGTTTAACACGAATAATTATAGTTTACATGTGGTATCAGAGCTAACGGTTTAGGAACTCATTATTTTTCATTAAAGTTGCATAAATAATATGTATAATTTTAAAATTAAATGATTGTATAATCCATTCTTTTAGAATCGTATGTTTAGATCAGTCCGTGTGGTTTTTGGGTTTAGGTACCTCAATTTATGAGCCAAAATTGAATTATGAAAGTTGATTACTGATACATAGTTTACATATGTGTAATAGTACAAACGTATGCATAATGTGTGTAAGACAAACAACTTCAATGCTTTAGGTTACTGATTTTCGTGCATGACTAATAAAGAACATTGAATTAAAAAAATAATAATAATAATAATAGCATTTGTCTTGTTATTGTTTTATAGAAACAGTAAGTTGTGAAAGGATTACAAAAACTCATTATTATTATTATTTAAAAATTAATAAATACATAAAGTTTGTGTATTTATTTATTTTATTAAAGAGGTTTAAATTATTGTTATAAGTATTTGTCCAATGATTTGAAGATTCTGCTTTTAATTTAAAATAAATTAAAATTAAAGTTATTGAATACATAAAATATATGTATTGATTTATTTATTTTAGGAATTTGAATTTCTAGAATAATTTGTGAGTTTAGAAATTTAATCTAATAAATTAGACATGTAAATAACTTATTGTTTCGTACCCAAACATACATACATATTGTAGAATCAATTTTAAATTGATTCAATTATGATCTTTAAGTCCGAAAATAAAATAATATATTTTATTATGTAGATAAAATAAAAAGATATTTTCTATGAAATTTCGGACTATTAAGTTTTTGAGATCGAAGTTGCTTAAACTTTAATCGACAATTATGAGTATGTGTGTATAATGTTAAATGGGTAAATTAATAATTAATTAATTACTAGTTAATTTAATATTCATATTATGTGTGGGTTAGTAGTTACCAAAGTGGCCTAACCATAATGGTCGATGAATATTAATTTTAGTACTAAATATAACTTAATGATGAATTAATTACTGTCTAATTTAATATTCATATTATGTGAAGATTGGTAGCTACTAAAGTGGCCCAATCATAATGATTGATGAATATTAATTTTTGTAATAGACATAATTAATCATAAATTAGTTACTATCTAATTTAATATTCATATTATGTAAAGGTTAGTAGCTACCAAAGTGGTCTAACCATAATAGTTGATGAATATTAATTTTAGTAGTAAACATAATTGCAATATTTCATGAATTATGATGCTTATAATTTTTTGTGATATTCATGAATATTGATTTTATTTAATTATGAGAAATAATTCCTCAAAGGGAATTGATTTTCAAGTGATTAAATAAAAATTAAAGGGTCGAATGTATGTATTTTTTTAATTAGGTAAATATAGAATATCCAAAGGTAACTTATTTGTTTAATTAAATAATGCATCACCAATAAAGGTATACATATAAATACATGTAAGCATCATTATTAGTATTTTATAGTTGCCACCCAAAGGGATACTATAGTTATACATTGTATTTATATTTTTAAGTTATACATACGTGTTGTTAACTCAAAGCATTATTGTTGTTAAGATTTTATCTTATTATATTTGTTTTATTACATCCCTTAATGCGCATGTTACATCTGTTCTGATTCTCAATATGACTAACTTCTCATAATGAAATGAGTAAGTTGAGTTCAAAATTTAGATGTGTTAAATCTTAATTTAACATTTTAAATTGAGAAACTTACTGTTATTACTGATAAAAACAGTGAGGAAGAAAAGATTCTCCATAAAGCTTGGGAGAGATCGAACAGATTAAGCATTATGGTTATGCGAATAATTGTTCCTCATAGTGATAGTGCTAAGGAATATTTGATTATAAGAATGTTTTCGTGTTGTAGATAAATATCGAAAACAAAAATTATTAATTGATATAACTACTCTGGATTTTTTGTTGTACTCGTACCATGTATGATCGTATTTTTAGATAACTAATGTTGCTGCAAAATTGAGAACCTTATGGATGATTGTGAATGAGAATTTTCTTATTCAATTTATTCTCAATTTCTTGTCTATTCAGTATGAGTCATTTCGAATTAACACTATTAAGACAAGTGGAAAGTGATTTAATTGACCTTTATGTTAATTTATGAGGAGACAAAACTTAAGTAGCAAGGTAATCATTATGTTCATCTGACGACTCAAGAAGCTAGAAAGAAATTTGGGAATAAGTCAGAAAAGGCATTAAGTGAGCAACACTCAAAATAAAAAGATTTAGGTCAATCTACTAAAAGAAAGTAATGTAATAATGAAAAAGTGTCATTAATGTATTGAACACTTTTAGAAAGACTACATGACATATAAAGAATGATTTGAAAAAAAAGAGTATGATTTTGGCTTTTGTATTTTGTGAATTACTTGTTGAAATTCTTTTTAATACATGATAGGTTGACTTAAGTACTAATATTTATATTTCTAATAGATGCAAGAATTTTTTATGGCTTAAACCACAAATTCAAATAAGAATTTCTTATTTATGATAATTGGGAAAAAGTTTTGTTGAAACCATTCTGACACTATATTTAATATTAGACAATGGATTTTATTTAAATTATTTTTAAAAATTTATGTTTATTCAATTTCCCATAATTTGATTTTATTTCAAAAACTTTATGTTAATAGTTTTTCATTTAAATTTGGTAATGATATTTATTTAAGAAATTATAATTTGTGAGTTATGGTATTATTGTTGATGATTTCTATAAATTCAAATTTGATGGTTTATTTATTAAAATCCTTTTGATCTTGTATCATAATGTTAGAATTAAGCGTAGCTCAATTAATAGAAAATTTATCTTTGGCATAAAAGACTAGGTCAATATCTAGTAGAAGGTTAGGAAAATTAGTAAAGGATGTGATTCTTCTTAATCTAAACTTTACTGATTTTGATGTGTGTGTAAATTGTATTAAGGGTAGACAAACTAAACGCACAAAGAAATGAGCCACAATAAGTACATAGCTTCTTGAAATTATTTGTAGACCTTCTGATGTTCCATCTTTTGGAGGAGAAAAGTATTTTATCGCTTTTGTAGTTGATTTTTCACGTTATGGATATATCTATTTGTTATATGAAAAACCTCAAGCAGTGTATACTCTTGAAGTATACATAAATGAGGTTGAAAAACAACTAGATAGAAAGTGAAAATCATAAGGTCATATAGAAGTGGTGAATATTATGTAAAGTATGATGGAACAGATTAATGCTCTAACCGTTTGTTAAACTCCTTGAAATGATTGCCATTTGTGTTCAATACACTTTGCTATACATGCCACAGCGGAAGCGTGTAGCTGTAAGGCGTAATCGTACTCTTATGGAATTGGTTAGGAGTATGTTAAGTAATTCCTCGTTACCCATAATGTTGTGGATATTAAGTAATCTAAAGGGTACAAGTTTTACTATCCGAAACATAATACGTTAATTATTGAAACCGGTAATGTCAGATTCATTAAGAATGGTGAAATCAGTGGGAGTGATAAAAATAAGAATTTGATCGTTTCAGAAGTTAGGGTACAAATATCTTTATCCATAACTTATAAGGAAATAATTGTTCCTTCAGTTGTTGAACCGTATAACAACGAAGAACAATTAAATAATCAACAACTCTATAATGAGATTGTCACCAATGAATAGATTGTAGAAGAATCATAAGGAATAACATTAATACAATCTCAAAGAGAAAGGAGATCTGCTATTCTGGATGACTATGTGATATATCTGCAAGAATCTGATTTTGATAAATAGTGAGATATATACGGATCCGGTTACATATTCACAAGTCATTAACAGTAATGATTTTACTAAATGGATTAGTGTCATGAATGAAGAGATTATAAAGAAACCTTCTCTCTAGTATTAAGAAGGAATATTTTAAAATACCATGGCATTAGTAGCTTATTATGATTTAGAGTTACATCAAATGAATGTGAATACAATTTTTATGAATAGGAGTTTATAAGAGGAAGTCCATATGGAACAACTTGAAGACTTCATATTAGAGGGTAAAGAATTCATGGTCCATAAACTTAAGATGTCAATATATGGATTTAAACAAGCTTCCTAACAATGGTATATTGAGTTTAATGATACCATTATTTCTTTTGGTTTTAAGAAAAACACCATTATCAGTGTATATACTAGAAGGTTAGTGGGAGTAAGTTTATATTTCTGATTCTATATATTGATGATATTTTATTTGTTAGTAGTGATTTTAGTTTATTATATGAAACTAAAAGTTATCTCTAAGAACTTTGAAATGAAATATATGGATGAAACATCCTATGTGATAGGAATAGAAATATTTCATTATAGATCACATTGATTTGTTTTTAGAATTGTCTCATAAATCATATATTAAAAGAGTTCTAGAAAATTTGGTTGGAGGAACAATATTATGAAAAAGTGCAAAGTAATTTATGATTACTTTATCTATTATGAAATTTTAATTTGTAGCATGCTTTGAGGCTATAATTTATGGTTGTAGAATTTATTTCAGGACTTGGAGTTATGGGTACCGTTTTCAGATTGCTGAAAATTTATGCTGCAATTGTTGATCTTCTTGTATGAAAAATGATAGGTATTCTAAAGTTGAAATACTTTATCATTAAAGAAGATATTTTAGAAACAACAAATGTCTATTGAAATTATAAGCACACAACTTATGATTGCAATCCATTAATGAATGGAATACCATCCAAGACATTTATAGAATATGTTGAAAGAATGGGTCTTAAATGTAGTCAATGATGATTATTTTTTAATTGTGGATTCCTTAAATAGTGCTTATATATATTTGACATTTTGCGCTGATTAAATGTGTTTCTGATATTTCCTATTAATTAATGTACATGTACGTATTGCTTTAATAAGTGGTAATAGGAATAGTCTTGAAAAAGACATTATTATTAGATCATTATTGATACTTCTCATTTATAGACTATGTTGAATAGATTACTAGTGTTGTGGTACATGGAAGGGACTGTGTCATTTAAGGATATATAACCGCCATGACTCGCATTGGTAATTTATTTACCATGGTATTTATGATGACCAATTTTATAAGTTAATCTGATTTATGGTGCACATTAATGACTATTTTACTAAACCACTACAGAAATTATCATATGTGCCAAGTGGGAGAATGTAAGATTATTTATTTAATTGTGGCCCACATGATTTGGACATGTGACATATTACTTGGTGGGTAAGTAAATAGATATCAATTAATATTATTTATTTTTGGTCAACTTATAATTACCTTTTTGGTAATTACTTATTGGAGAAGTGTTTTCCTTTCTTATTCCTTACTTTGATGGAAAGTAGAATTATGTTACTATAAGGAAAACTGGTCCTCTCTCTGCCTTTATAAAAGTGCATATATTCCATCAATTATATACAATTAATGAAACAACACGTAAAAGTTTTATGTGTGCAAAAGGCCAAAAGAGAGAAACCAATTTCCACGTTTGCCTGTTGATCAGAGTTGCAGATTAGTTCATGGTTAAAGGATCTAGAAGTTGGATTTAATCTCAACAAGGTTTGATATCATGAATCGAGGTATTTATATCTAACTATTTATTTATACATTATAGATATGTGAAAATCATGAAGTTCTAAGATTATGGGATTCATGTTTATTTGTGATGAATGGTTTAACACGAATAATTATAGTTTACAACACATACCACTAACTGTTTCAATACATTATTACACACATTTATCTATATAAGTACATATAACAATTTTGAAAATAGTATTAGAGTACATTACAAGGTGCTGAACAATAATTTTGAAATAAGTATTGAAATAAGTAATAGAACACTTGAGGCAAGCCTTGGCGCAACGGTACATTGTGGCCTGGAGGTCACGGGTTCAAAATAAGGAAACAACCTCCCTGCATGCGGAGGTAAGGCTGCATACCCTGACCCTCCCCAAACGCCCACGATGGCGGGAGCCTGGTGCACTGGGTTTGCATTTCTTTTTTTCTTTTTAATAAAACACTTCCATAAGGCGCTTAAGAAAATTCCTTATTCAGCAAATATAAAAAGGGAAAAAATAAAAAATAAAGAAGAAGGAATGAACCTTACCAAATGAGTTTGTCTATTCCTCTGGTGCTAAACACCATGTACATACAACTTTGCAGTTGGAACCTAAAACTTTATTGATTTGAGCCGAGCTACATATATTTTCATAGTTCTGCGACATTGCTAAGTGCTTGTACTGCTAAATCTAATATAAAGCATTGATCAATTCTACTCTCCCAGCATCCCATCAGGCAGCACAAGCACTGAGTAATGCACTAATGCAACTCAGTTTCCACCAATTTTATTAAAATTCCTTATAATTTACACCTAGTTTCCACCAATTTTATTAATGCTCCATCCATCTAATTTTTTTTATGCCAGAAGGTATTAATCAAATGATAAAATTATTCCTCTTCAAAAAAACATATTTTGGTAAGTAAATATATCTGTCTTTGTTAACAAAACAAATGAATTAGGTTGGCACTGGATCAGGGTTTACCATCTGAACAGTCCTATTCAAATTTCTCAATTATTTTTGCAAATCTATTTTAAATGGTTTAAATTTCTCGAACGTGGTTAAAAGACTTGCTCAAGTCATAAGATTAAATCCCATTTAATTTGGTATCATTCTTTGGTTTTATTATTGTAATTTTTTTTTTTTTTTTTTTTTTTTTTTTGACATGCATAATCCAGTGGCATGATGTTACATATTACTTACAATCATGAAAATGAAAAAAGCGCCACAATTAACGAGACAACCAAGGTACAGTAGAACCATACTTCATCTCATCAAAAGAAAAGGAAAAAGGGAATACAGGGGGAAAAAAAAGTTCCAAGAAGTCTAGCTTATTGGTGTACAAGTGGTGATATTATTGCAGGCCTATCATTTTAACCTAAAAGAGGACAAAAGTGAATGGTGAGGGCATGGACAAGAAAGTTGAAATTATGAAATTGAAAAGGTCTCAAGGGTCACTACGAATATGGTCCCTGCCATTTGAGGACACTGGATATAAACCTAACCCTTGGGATTAAATTGCAAAGAAAGTGGCTACACTTGGTATTCTTTAACCGCCTTGACACCCTAATATCAAGGAACCCCTGCATTTTCATGCTTGATTGCCCAAACACGAGAATGCGGAAAAAATCAGGATTACCTAAAATATAACAATTTCTTTCTTATATTAATAAATAGGCTAGCAGAAATACTTTGGCAACTTGGGCAACAGAATCAACTTTCCAAACAAGTTCAGCATTTGAATTACCCAGTACATCGGATACTGGGAGGGAAGTCGGGAGACAGACCTAACCTTTGACATTATTTTGCACAAAGTGGCTACTTTTAAAGCTCGAAATCAAGTTTTTCATGTTTACAATTTAAGATGGAGATTAATCTTCATTTTGGCAACAAATTGAAGGAAAATACCTTCAGTGGGTAAGCTTCAGCACGTTGGGATGGTATCTTCACAAGGAGTTCTCCCATGGGAGTCAATGGCGCAGTTGTTTCTGCAATTACTTCCACCACTTTACAATATGAAAGGCTTCGGTTTTTGGCCATAAATGCCATTAGTTCTGCCACCTGCCATTTAACAATAAGAAGTTTAAGTCTCCTCAACCATATATAAGATAGAAAAGACTGATTTTATTTCCACTATTCATAATGATGTTTAACCAGAATCTTGGCCTTAAAATGAAATAAATGTATAACTTTCCAGATACTTAATGAATATATTCTACTCATCCTGACTCCATTCTAATTCAGTCATATACCAACAGAATATTGTGTGTATGAAAAATAACTATATCACTGTGAATAGTAACTTTTGTAATTGACATAATTCGGTGTCAAAACAAGTCCGATTGAGTCTTGAGGTCGTAAACAGAACAAGTGCTAACTCACTCCGTGGTCAATGAGAGTACACTTAGTCAGGTAAGAGAGTGAGAACACACTTTATACAACTTAAGATTTATGTCTTAATTGAGAGTTAGGTGCTTTTGGGTCAAAACAGGTGTATTTTGAACTCTCAACTGGTTGCACTTTAAACACAACCGGTTGCACTTTAAACACAACCGGTTGCACTTCATGCCGGTGGAAAACTAGCTCTCAGTCAAAACACAACCGATAGCATTCTGAAACAAAACCGGTTGTGTTTGCTCTAACCAAAAGGTAAAGTTCTTTTAAAGACAAATTCAATTACCTTTTTTTATTAGGTTTTCAAGAGAAGCTTTTGCACGAAATTACTAAATTTTCCAAGGGTTTCTAGGTCTCTCTAAACACCTATTTATTTAAAATTCATATTGAGCAAAAATCAGATAAAAGTCTAGGTTGATTATCCATATTTATTCCACAACCATTCCACCTTGCACAACTCACAATTACATCATGACCACTCATAATTTACAGAACTTTCCATACTACCACCCAACAGTTCGAGGTGAATCAATTTGCAGATTGCCACAACTCCATACTATGTTTAATATTGAAGTATGGTTTACACTGCAAGATGTTCCACTCTCGATATGATCTTGGTTGGTGATGCTTCCACTAGCAGTCACCATTCTAAAACTCCCGCAAACAATAAAACAATGGAAAAACATATGGGTAAAGCAGTAAAAAAGGCATCAAGATACGAAGCATAGCTACTTCTATAGGTGCGACAATACCCGTATCATGTCCGTGTTGGATACCGACACTTTTCGGACAGTTGCAGATACATGTCCAATACTTCTTAAATGTATTCATAGTCTTAAACTAATATATATATATTTGGTTGTATCTTCTACTTCTTAGATACTTCAACCATGTATCCAATGCTTCTCAGATCCTCAAGCACACATATTTAACAAGTCTTAAAACCTAAAATATAGAGTAACTATTTCAAGTATAGTATCACTGTATAATTGCTAAGAAAGTTTAAATTTTCTTTAAAATATAAGTAATGTGATATTGTACCATGACTAGTTTAGTCAAAAATTTATCTATGCAATATAACTCTCAACTCTGACCTTTTAGCTTATTTGTTATAACTTTAATAAATAAATGTTAGTAGCAAATTAACAATATCTATGTACATATATAACAGCAAAAGTAATTATTATTTAAATTTATCCATATATACATTGTTATGAGCTGCCCAACCCATGTAGATATTGTCTATTTTGCACAATCTCCTCTCGGTGCTCATGGTTTTCCTCAAACCACAACTAAATGGTTAAGGGGTGTCCACAGATACAAGTCTCAACAACTTTTTCCCCCCATGCGATGTGGGACGTCACAATCACCCCCTCTTGGATCCAGCGTCCTCGCTGGCCTGACCCGCATAGGTTTATGCATGACCCCTATTTTTGGCTAGGAATTGGCTCCGATACCGTTTGTCACGACCCGCCCCAATCCGTGTAGATATTGTCCTCTTTGCTTACTCTCCTATCAGTCATAGTTTTGCTCGAAACGCGTTCATACATATAAATGCCAAGAAATTCTCCACCAGGCGATGTGGGATGTCACACATTGTCGCGCGGGGGGGTGGGGGTTTGGTGAAGTTGGTGAGATTTATACATGTGGGCACATCTTGATTGTGTAGATGCGTTTTGAGCAAAACCGTAAGCACCAAAAGGAGAGCATCCAAAGTAGACAATATCTATAAGGTGCAAGGTGGATTATGACATATTGTGTCAAAGCCAATCCCCAACCGAAAATGGGGGAGTGTGCACAAGCCCATGCAAGTTAGGCTAGCAAGGACGTTCTTGGGTAGTTAATTTATGAGATTGAAAAACATATTAGGGAAAAAGAAGCAAAAGAAGAAAACTAAGAAAGGGGAGAAAAGAAAAGAATGTGACGGCAAAAAGAATGAGAGAGAATACTGATTCTCTCTTACGTTATATTATTTATACTATCTTGGATAAACACGTAATTACTTATATACACTTCAACATAGAAAAAATAAAATAAAAGGATAGTCTCCAACAAGGGCAATTGTGACAGTCCATGTCGCTTGGGGGGAGAAGTTCCTAGCATTTATATCTGTGGACAACACTTAACCCTGTAAACGTGTTTTTGAGCAAAACTGTGAGCACTAAGAGGAGAGTGTGCAAAGCGAACAATATCCACACGGGTTGGGGCGAGTCGTGAAATACATATATATATATATATATATTAATTACATATATTTACATTAGTATTACATATATTTCCGTGTCCTTGCCACATCAATATCCTACCTTTCAGGAATTTGACGTATTGCCCCCATATCCCGTATCCATTTCCATGCTTCATAGGCATCAAGTGCCCACACGATATAAGCAAGAATGGACCCAGATCCAAATGGAAGAGCAATGAAAAAAGGTTTGAACAATAACCAAAATGCAGACAGAAGTTTACTAGAAGAAAACCTGAAGGTTTGACACTTGACCACCAAATAAAGTATCTTCTTCTGAGAGAGTGACATTGTGAGTTTCCTTGTAGGCATCAGTAGGACGCTCCATCCCTCCAGGTCTCACAATCTGAGATAGCACAATAAAAACTAGTAACCAGCTTCTGGTTCACATCATCTGCGACACCCAATTTTTTTTATCTATTTCCAGAAAAATCTATGAGAACTCACAGTGTATGGGAGACCACTGGCTAGCAGTGCTTCTTCTGCCTTCCTTTTCCAGATCAGGACTCCCCAAAACAAACTTTAGCAGCAGAAGCAAATGACAGTCAACAAATCTAACTTAACAGTAAACACAAATTATCAACATTCTAAATCATTTTGTTATAGGATTAATATTTGCATATAGTACAACAAATTGTCTTGTTTATCAAAAAATTTCTGTACTTACTTTAAAATAGCCGCAGGAAATCCAACCTTGTTAGTTCCCAATGATGTAAGCAAAATAAAGTGGTTCACCTTTGCAACAGTTGCTGCACATTAAAGTACTCAAAAGTTCTGGCATCTTGAGCTTAAAGAGAATAAATTTGCTAAATTCAAAATTGAGGAAATTTCAATCCCTAAAGGAATTTCAATTGAAATTTAATGATAGGTAAAATAACATATATATCATGAAAGAATAAAGCTCATGAATGACCATGTCCGAGTTCAGCACCCCAGATTTGTTACAAGCCCTATCCAAACCCTAGCACAACTTTAGGTTCATCATTCATGAGCTAAGGTCAAACATCGAAAACACAGGCTGATAATATCTATTGTTGGTTTTGACCCATCGATTCCATATACTCATAGACTTCAGAGTATTGACCAGCCCAATCATTAGATGATCCAACTTGGATCTCAGATTTTTGCAAAAATGGGGCCAAAATAATTAGTATTTTTATATAGAATTTTTTCCACCTCTGCTTAGTTTTCAGCTTTCACAATCAATATAGTCATCTCATGCTTAGCCGAAAATGAGAAAGCACTTGTCTACAATCCAACTTCTCTTTACCTGCATCAATAAGGTTTTTTGTAGCTTGATAGTCAATTCGATATGGTCCAGTAATATCAAAAACCTCCTTCTCACTAGCACCAATACAGCATATAATGATGGATGAATTGCCTAATGCTGGACCAATCTGATCCTGCTTCTCCAAGTCACACTCTACAATTTCAAGCTTCTCTGTAGCTGGGCTAAAGACCAAAGAAACTTTGTTAATTGCTGTAGGAGCAAACCTTTTCAAATAGTACTTGCATAACCAAACACTTCGTTTTATCTCATAGACATCAAAGTTCACAACAATTAAGTGTAGGAAGTAAATGAGACTTGCATAGCTCCTTTCACTTACGTTTACTTCCTTCACTTGTAACTTCAATTCCAAACTTCATCTGTTGAACACTCTGCAGATAAGCATTTTATTTAGTTCATCAATGATTACAGAAAAAAATAAGCAATTCACATTGACCACTAATTAAACTCATACTTGCACAAGAGATTCAGCTCTCTGAGCACTCCGAACACCAGCTCTAACTCTGAATCCCAGTTTCAAAAGCTCCCTAGAAAAAGAAACGAAAAAAGAACATTTTTTTTATCAAATTTGGGATCATACCAACTTTATAATGAATTGAGCATAGAATGTAACCTTACGGTACGCGACCCAACTCTACCAGTGCCACCAGCAACAAATACAAGATCCTCAACTTTTAAATTCGCATCTTTTGTAATTCCTTCAGTTGCCTCTGAGCTAAATTTTGTTGTGCCTTATAGAAACATAGGGACATAATCACATTTAGGAACAATTAATATAGCATGATAACCGTTTCTTAACCAGAGAGAGAGAGACGGGTAAAATTGCAACTGTAAGAAAGGGAATAGCCTCTGCTCTTTCATTTTAATGCAGACTTTGTGTTGGGATTGAGTGTGCCCTTCAAACCAATTTAGCTTTGTATTTCACATTTTATCATTAATAGAATTTGTTATTTCTAGTTTACATGCTTTACATACATATATGGTGAATGCTTTGGATTGGTTGACTCTAGAGTTGACTCAAAGTTATGTGATATAATTTATGTGCATCTGTAATAGAGATGTGCATTAGGAGATATAAATCATAGAAATCACATCTTTTGTAAGAATTGATTAGTTCACAATCATGATAAAATTGGACAATCTATCTATAAGAATGTAACTATTGAAAAGCATAAAACGAAAGTGAAGAGATAATTAAAACAAGTAGAATACACAGATATTACATGGTTTAGCCACTAGGGCCTACATCCACGGCACAAAGAGCCCAAAGGGCTACACCACTTTTATAATACTCTCTCAATTCATACACAATACAATGGTGGAGGCTCCTTTATATAGGAGAAGAAATTATGAGAATGAAAAGAATTAGAAAATAGGAAATAAGGAGGATTTTTTTCCACTGATTCCTCTGGTAACACCAAATCTTCAATAATAGGAAACGACATCAATTACTGAAAGATTTTCTTCCTCCATTAAATCTTTAATACTCCCCCTCAAGTTGGAGCATGAATGTCCAGCTTGCCATTAAGATGACGAGTAACAAGAGTAAATGCTGAAGAGAGAAGACGAAGAACAATGTTACCGAACACACCGACAACCCAAACAAGCCAACGAAATACTGCCGGAGACAAGGCAAAGGCAAGGACAATGCTACCGAACACACCGGCAGCCCAAACAAGTTGATAAAAACTACCGGACACGGCAACGACGAAGACAATCCTACCAAACACACCGGCAGCCCAAACAAGTCAATAAAAATTGCCGAAGACACGGTAAAGGCGAAGAACATTACTTGTCGAACAAACTGGCAACCCAAACAAGTCATAAATAGCACTGAAAATCCCTTAGCAACATTTCAGATGCTAAGGGAATACCCCAAAATAGGGGTCCAAACCTACGAAGAGAAATTAGGCTTTGAAACCATGTTAACAACCCATCTACTCTAAAAGCTGAAGCTATTAGAGAGGATGTAACTTAAATATATAAATCTTTCAACACACCCCTTTACGTGTGGCCTTTTTTTTATCCAACACATGTTTCACAATTTTAATTATCAGGGTGACGGTGAGGTTTGAACATGAGACCTTTGGCTCTGATACCATATTGAAAAGCATAAACCAAAAGCGAAGAGATATATAAAACAAGTAGAACACACAGATATTACGTGATTCAGCCACTAGGGCCTACATCCACGACACAAAGAGCCCAAATGGCTATATCACTTTTATAATACTCTCTCAATTCATACATTATGAGAATCGAAAGAATTAGAAAATAGGAAATAAGGAGGATTTTTCTCCACTGATTCCTTCATTAAATCTTCAATAGTAACGTGTAAGTTTCCACCTATAGAAATGACTTATCTTAGTCACTATAAATAGAAGGACTGTGCAAGTTGCTGTGTACGACACATTGAACATGTCGTCGTTGTAATTTCTCCTTATTTGTATTCTAACAAGTTACTCTAAGTATGAGAGAGTAATGGACTTGTGTCTTGATTAGTGCTTACTTTGATTAATCTCAGTGGGCCCTAGGGTCAAAAATTTGAGTATTTAGGTAATCATTAATTATGGGCATTTGAACATTTATTCTAAGATGACATCCATGCTAGTATCATTTATTATTGACTTGATTAAGTTTGATCACAGAAATCCGAATCCGGTAGTTTTTGATGAAATGTTTTATTATATAATTATTTATCAAATATATTATTTCTCAAATAAATGTTTTTATGTGATCAAATAAATTTAATCAAGAAGTCAATGATAAAGGATTAATTAGTAATTGGATTGATGGTTTTACTTGTCCAATAAGCTAATTATGCATAGATGTGTATACTTGTAATTTAATACTTGAGGCTTTGATTTATTTTTTACTTGGAGTACAACTATTTTTATTTAGTGAAATTAAAAATAGTTTATGGGCTAATTAATTGGGTCATGGGGTTCAATATTCCTTTAAGAAGTCCATTGGAATCCAAGTATGGAATTGGCCCATCTAGATCCCACTTCTAGCCTACCTAGGATTACAAGCATGATAGTTGGATAAGATTAGGAGAGAGAGATTGAATGGAGAGGAAGAGAGGGGTGGCCCACTCTCTATCCACCCCTATATATGTGTGTTGTGATCTTGTTTGATAGACACTCAAATACATACACGATATATTCTCTCTCTAAGAGTGAAAATTTGGTGGTGAAGAAGCTACAAACACCAACACCGCACCACCCCCCCCCCCCCCCCCCCCCAAACCACGCGCACACACACACACACGCAAAAAGCTTGAAGAAGGAAATCAAAAGCTTGGATTGGAGAGAAAGAGCTTAAAGATCTCTCATAGTTGGTGTTAAGTATGATGAAAGTAATGTATATTCAATATATTTATGAACAATACATGGGAGGAAGCATGAAACCCTGATTGGGGTAGGTGACTAATACAGTACTACGGGGTAGTACATGGTACAACAAGTACAACAAAGGGTACTACATATATATATAATCTAACAGCCCCCTCAAACTCAAGGTGGATTATATGAAGCCAGTTTGAGTTTGGAGACATATATCAGACCTTTGGCTTACGCGGTAGATGACGTGTAGGATGGCATGGCAATGTGATAACGTGGCAGTTTGCTGATGTGTCTGCTGTCGTGGCTGCCAAATAAGACTGATTGTTGATGTGGCAGAGCTGAGGATGATGATGTGGCACTAGGGTGAGTGAGAAATCTTCTGGCACATGGGCAAGAGCTTGCAGCACATGGAGGCGCGTGACAATGTCTTATGGCGTGTGGTGGTGGCAGCAGAAACTTTGCATGGTGCGTGAGGAAGTGTTTCGGGTTAATTTTTGTGGTGTTTTGACAATATTGTTCCATTCCTTCGATTGATGTGAACAGAACTTCAAACGGATGCTGAACGATTCAGAAAATGAACAGTGCTTGACGGTAATGAGAGTGCTGCTAGTGAGTAGCACTGCTTGTAGGAGGAAGACAGGCGGCTGGAAAAGACCCGAAAAAAAAAAAAAAAAAAAAAAAAAAAAAAAAAAAATGAAAGGGATTTTAAAACCCCAGCTCTGATATCATCTTAAAGATGATGGAAGTAATTGATATTAAGTACTAAGGAAAACAAATTGATATTCTGTATATTTATGATCGATATATAGGAGGCCTTTATATAGGAATGAAACCCTAGGGAGTATGTGAGTACTAAGTAGTACAGCAGTACAATAGTAGAAGGTGATACATGGTACAATGAGTACAACATATATATAATATAACAGTTGGCAATCTAAAAGTTGTCCAAAGGCATAAATCTTACTCTCTCTCTCTAGGATTGAGTCACAATGACAAATGGGAAATGTTTTTCAGCTTCCACAAAATAGACCCGTTTTCCAGCACTTTGTTGTCTGCTCCAGGATTTGTCGACATTAGCGCTGCAATAAAGTGATGCCAAAGCTGATTATTTGGTTGTTTGAGATCAGCTTAACCAATCAAACTTGAGTTCGAGCTCGATTCAAGCCTAGAGATATGAGTGTTCAAGCTTGGATGGGTCGGACACAGCTTGACAAACTTGAGCTCGGCTTGCTCGTCCAATTTTGAACTTAAACTCGAGCTCATTCTTGAGCTTGAGATGAAAATTGATTAGAAACCTAAACAAGCCCTAACAAATGAGGCATGTTCACGAGCTTGTTCATGAATAAGTTTGCGAGCCTAACAAACCAAGTAATGAGTTGTCCGGCTTCAGCTCATTTACCTTAACAAGCCTGAAAATGTTGTTCGAGCTCAACTCATTTACTTAGCCAACAAACACGAACCAACCTTTTTTTGAAGTGTACCTGAGTTCATGACAAATCAGTTCGTTTGCAGCCCCAATTGACACTTTTCCAAACTCTTCAGCTCATGCTTCTACCAAACTAGTCAAATCAGAACTAAACATAGCTATGTGTAGATGCAAGACTTATATTAAAAGAGACGTTCTTAAACAAGTACAAAATAATTTTTTTATATAAAAAATCAAATGGTTACTAGGCTGATTACTGTGTCTTTAAGAGATAAAAGAGTACTAAGATAAATAAATATGAGGGTTGAACAGTGTCTAAACTCCTCCAAATATGTAGAGATATCAGCTTTTTTAAATATTCACTTCACAAATGAAAACTTAAATAGAAGCATGATGTAGAAACTTCAATATGAAAAATTAAGACAAGTCTTAAGTCCTTTTCCTTTACTTGCTTCCAAGCATACCCTTAATGGACCCAAAGAGTCCTATAAATTCTTCTGCAGGCAACTAGTGTAGTAGAAGAAGGTTGTAACAGGGCGTGTCTCACCTTTAAGTGCTCTTTGACCTACTATAGATCAATTAACAAAAAATAATGGAAGAAAGAATAACAATGCAAGTAATCTTATTTCTTCTGAACATAAAAGATTGATCCTATAAATGTCCATTTACTGGTGTGTCCGTCAAAGAAAGACTGTAATTAATGCCCATTGGAAAAAGAAGAGAGAGTGTAGTTAATGTCCATTGAAAAAAGAAGATCACGATGAACAGCCAAATGAAGCTAAAATGAAATAAAATCAACAATCAGGGTAGATTACCTTGTAGTAGGATCATTAGTTGGGAAAAGTCAACAAGACTGTTAAAAGCTCATGGTATACATTTCATGTATATTTATAGTAATTCAAACTCACAGACCATAGTTATCAAAAAAAGATAGATGTAATTAGAAGCATGAAAAAAATCTCGTACCAGATGAGTACAGATGTAACAAAATATATGAAAAGAATTGCTAATGGTGTATAGGAACGAGATGCGTGAACTCTAGAGTGTTTGAGAAATGCTTATAGACCATTGCAAAAAGGGAATAGGAAACACTGGCAACATGAAGATAACAGGAAACAAGTTTTCCCATAAGTTCTGAAAATGGTTCCTACGAATCCCCAAAAGCTTCCAAGCACTTTCAACACATTTTCTTTGAAAAGTCCAAAAGTTATATCTCAGTTATAAAGGTTCCCTTTTTCTTCTTTTTTTTTTTTTCAAATTTATTTTTCAATGTACCATGTTCCTTTGAGGACCAAATTTACTTCTAATTTTTTTCCTATGCCTAACTTGACCATTATTACCCAGCTGACAATCATCTACTTTACATGGATGAATCACTTGAATAAAAGTGAACTTAGCCACATTCCATTCCAAACAGATTATTCAAGATCCAACTCAAATAATGCTGCCCTTGAAACAAAAAGCTTCACAGTAAAAAGCATGAACTCTGAAATAATAGTTCTATTTTTAATAAAAAGCTTCACGGTAACTTTCCAAAGTCTCAACGCAATAATAATCCAAAAACAATTAATCAAAATTTCTAGGAGAGTTCTCCTAGAAAAATAATACTAATAAATATAAAGCACATATTAATTTTCTGTTTGGTTCCTGGGAAACCCAAAAGAGAATAGATAAATTTCGTTTTCCCAATGTTTGATGTCCTTTTGTTTCCAGAAAAGTGTAGCACTCAAATCCACTAATGGGTTATAAATAATGGAATATATAAGATTCAAAATCTCAATTTCGTTCCAATTCCTACACATGGGAAGCAACCAAAAAACAAGAAATTTGAATGGACTCCCACATTAATTAAATTGGGAAATGTGTAACAATGCAGTACGTACCTGAAGCTTGAACTCTGAAATCAAGAAGTTTGATGGTTCTGCCATATAGGTGCCTCTTGGAATTGGGAATTTTGATAACCTGACCACTTAAAAATGGTTTCTCTCTCAAAAAAAAGGGGGTTAGAGCGGAAGGTATTCTAGTTACGGTGGACGATTGTAGGGAGTGAATCTCCATTAATGTACTCCCAAATTGAGAGAGAGAGAGAGTGACTAATAATGTGTATTCTGTTTTAGCTTTTTCAGTTTAGCAGTCATGCAGCTCCACCCCATGTAGATAGATATGATGGACCCCCCAAAAAAATAGTTTAATGGTTACATAGTGACCATACATATCTACTAAGCCCGAGGGCTCTAATCTACTCCTTCGCTTGATCTTTAAGTGAAGAACCAAATTTCATATATGAGGAGGAAAAGGATGTAAAAAACAAAAAAAAAAAAATTGTATGTTCAAGTTATTTGTGTGACTCGTACGTAGTGAAATATTTAGAAAGTTTTGTATATTTAAAATTAGATACGGGTCTTTATAATTTGTACTTATTTTAGTAATTAAATAATTAATTATATGTAACATAAAATAAAACAAAGTAATAGTTAGAGATGATACAGGATTTTTAGCGAGTATAGATCAACTGTTTGCGTGAAAAAAAAAACCTCGTGGACTGTGTAGTCCAAAGTAAACCGATCCACTATGTTTGAAACAAAGTACATTGAACTTTGACTCTGGTTCACACCTTATCGTTCTGTCAGACATCAATCACTAACAATCCTCTGGCTTTGCAACGTCCCGTCCAATAATACTTGACCTTAGGCTTATTCTTGATCTCTGTAAAAGAGTAGCAGGTAGATCAAATAACACTCCTCGAATGCTTTAGCCCTTTCAAAGTGTGATCGTTTTTACTTCTTTTCTTCAATATCTGAATTCGATGTAGAAGTAGATCTGCTTTTCTCTCATCGTTGCAGATGTAAGATTTTGATCAGGATCAAGATTTGAACAACACTCTAAACTCACTATGACAAAGAAATTAACTTGGATTTTCTATAAAAATAATATTCCTAAGGCTTTTATGAATAATGAAGTTATAATGCAAAAGTCGTTCTAAACCTAGATGTGTATCAGGGTTTATATAGAATTTTCAAAGACCTAATCCTTTAGAAAATAAAGGAAAATTCGTGCATAGGACTTTTGGTAATATTCTAAACCAACTAAGAAGTCTAAAACAGGATGGGATTAAGTTACCTTAAACTGAAACAGCAGTAGTACCGATAGCCAAGTGCGCCCTGTGATGACCCGAAGGATGATCCGATAACGAATCTTGAATGAGGAAGCGAAACAAAAACAAGGTCTCTAGGGACATACAAAAGTGACCTTCCATTAAGTCACGGAACTCAACGAGAACGAAAGCGGAAGCAAAAGTTGAAAATAGACCAAGTATGGCCCCAAGGACAAAATGGTCATTTCACACAGAAAACGAAGTCTCTAGGGATGCACGTTATCCCTAAGACATGAATGTGACTTTTCATGAAGCCACAGAAAACAAAGAGACAAGATGTGGAAACGACATTTTAAAAATGGACAAATGCAACCCTAGGGGTAAAATGGTTTTTTCAAAACAAAAATGGGTACTACCGAGTACACCATTGGAAAGATAACGAAAAGAATAATAAAGTTAGACTCAAGAATCTCTTGATTTGGAGTTCAGACGAAAGAGATATGGCCATTTGAAAAAGGAGCGTCAAGGTTGCCAAGGGGAGGGCACCATGGGCGCCCATGGTGCACGCCGTGCGCGTGCACTGCAGCCCCCCTGAAATTACCAATGGCTTGCACTGATTTCTGGGTTTCAAATGGGGTTTTGAGGGCTTAAACAATATTTTTTAGAAAAAAGTTGTAAAGTAACCCCGTCCCCCCAAAATCATGTTTTCTACATGATCATGTTAAGAGAAGTTTTAATTTTTCAAGTGAAATACCCAAAATACCCCTATATCAAACTTTTTCCTGAAAAAAAATGTGCGCACCAGAAAATTCAGATCTGCGACTGATTTCGAACACTCAAACGAATTTTTTTGGAAAAACAAAAAGAAGAAACCCCCCTTAAAATCATGTTTTCTAGCTAACCATGTTAAAAGAAACTCTTATTTTTAAAGAAAAACCCCAAAATACCCTTAAACCAGATTTTGTAAGAAAGTACCAAAGTTGAGTCCAAAGGGTTACTCATCTCATACAATTATGAGGTTTTATACAAAGTGAACATGGACGTAAGCATAATATGCATTTTAAGACATGCTATAATGGCTCGTGGCCTCAAAATACGCCAAATGCAAAATTTGACCTATTAAACCTCAAGTTTGCAAAATATTGCTTTTAAAGGAAAACATAAAACCAAAAGTATACAAATGGAAGCAAAAGACGTTTTGGCCCTTGGCCACACGTCATACATATACAAAGAGTCATAAAGAATGTGCTTATGCACACTTTACATATCTCGAATTAAAAATGACATACTAAAACCTCAAATTTCATAATATTTCCAAATACAACATGAAAAAATAAATGACATACATGTGATTCAAAGATTCTTGGCCCTTGGCCTCATTACATACACATCAAATGAGTCTCAAAAGGTGCACTTAAGTGCACATTACATAGTTTAAATAAAAGATACAAGTTTCAGCATATTAAACCAAAATAATGCAAAAACATGCTAACAAATGCATGTAACAAATACACCAAAATTCCCCAAGCTATTAAACAAGTCTAAGGATGTTGTGCATCCCAAAATAGAGTTTTCATACCTGAAAAAGATCCCAAACAACTAGGGTGAGTAAACAAGTTACTCGTAGGAAATGAACATACGTATAACCTAAAGTTTTAATGGTTTTGCAAGTTTAGTATAAATCAATCCATGTGGTTCATGCCACCTAATGTCTATGTCCAAGGTGAGACTAAGGGAGCATCTTGTGACGGCCCTAGTTTTTCAAGCCAGTGCGTCTTGTGATGAACCGAAGATTGACCCGATAACGGATCCAAATGCGGAAGCAGAAATAGAAAACATGACCTTAGAGATGCATCTCTAAGAAGCCAGAGTGACCTTCCATGAGGCCACGGATCTCAACAAGAACAATGCAGAAATGAATGATCAGAAAAAAGACCGAATAGGCCCCTAAGGGCAAAATAGTCTTTTCACATGGAAGCAACGTCCTTGGGAATGTACATCATTCCTAAGACACATACATGACTTCCCACGAAGTCATGGGACTCGAAAGAAAGTAGTGAAAACAACTTAAAAGAAAACCGGACAAATTTAGCCTTAAGGGCAAAATGGTCGTTTCTAAAAATATAAAATCGGGTACTACCAAGAACACCACTGGAAAGACAATAAAAAATTAATCAAGTTAGACCCAAGAATCACTTGATTCGGAGTTCGGATGAAGAATATATGAAACTCCACGGTTTCATAAAATCAAACTTTTGGGTTTGAAATCAGTGCGGCAAGGGTACTTTACAAGGGGTAAATAATCTTTTCAGATAAAAATAGATGCAACTGAGCATACCATTAGATAGGCAAGGAAAAATTAATAAATCTAGACATAAGAATCACTTGATTCGTAGTCCGGATGAAAAAGATATGAAACGTCAAAGTTTAAAAAAAACCAACTTTTGGGTTTAAAATCAGTGCAGTAAGGGTACTTGACAATGGGTAAAATGGCCTTTTCTAGGCAAAAATGGATGCAACCGTTCATACCGTTGGATAGACAAGGAAAAATTAATAAACTTACACTCAAAAAGCACTTGATTAGGAGTTGGGACGAAGAAGATATGAAGCTCCAAAGTTTCAAAAAAAAAAACAAATTTTCGGTTTACAAATCTGGGCATGAATAGTGTTTTGACAGCAAGTACCATTTGATTTTTTTTTTTTTTTTTTTTTTTTTTTCAGAACTGAGGCTAAAAACGGACCCTTAAACGAATTTTTTTGGAAAAACACGAAGAAAAACCCCCCCTTAAAATCACGTTTTCTACCCGGTCACATGAAAGAAAACAGAAACAAACATGCTGTAATGTCCCTAAAATGCCCATAGATCAACATAGGTCAAGAGGGTTCAAAAAGTTGCTACATGGATTTTTTTTAGGATCTGTCCACAACTGAGAACAAAAACGGGCTATCAAACGAATTTTTCTGGAAAAATACGAAAAGGAAACCCCTCCCGAAATCGAGTTTTCTACTTTGAAAAGAGAGAGAAAATGAAAAAAAAAATACACTGTGAAATGCCTAAAATGCCCCTAGATCAGTAAAGGGTCAAAAACTCAGAAAATGCAACTTTGCAGCAAGTATGCATTTGGCCCTAAATGCATTTCTAGGTTGAAAAGAATGTGCACACAAGTGTAATAAATGATTCTAAGTGTGCTGGAATGGTCCGCGGCTCCTGAGAAGCCCCGACTCAAAATCCAACCCCCCGACGGCCAAATATAAGAAATATGGACTTGAAATGGAAAATCTGAAATCCAAAAATATAAAATGGAGTCAAATTACCATTTGACGCTTAGCCACACTTCAAACATGATTAATAAGACCCTATGGAAGAATAAAATTGGAATTCCCATACCCGATACAAACGTGGTGAAGCAATGACTTGGCATTTTTCAATATTTTCATAATATTTCATGAAGTTAAAAGTTACATAGGATACAAGATACATGTCATTGGCCTCCGGCCTTATCATGTGACGACCCTAGATTTTTAAACCCAATGTGTCCTGTGATGAACCAAAAGATGACCCGATAACGGATCCAAAATGCGGAAGCGAAAGAACCAAAATGGCCTCAAGAGATGTACGTCATCCCTAAGGCACCAAAGTGACTCCCCATGAAGCCACGGAACTCAGTTGAGCCAACAAATGAAATAAGAATGCCAACCCGAAAAGAAATGAACCAAGGGCAAAATGGTCATTCCAAACTAAAATGGGTGCCATCGTGCACACCATTGGCAAGACAACAAAAATGAACGAAGTTAGACTCAAGAATCGCTTAATTCTAAGTCCGGACGGAAAAGATAGGAATTTAAAACAAAGTGGCTTCCTCCGTTTAAGACATACCACGACACTATCTTACTAGAACTAGAATAACTCTCACTACAGGTGGAGTTTTGAAGAATGGTTTGTACCATTGGAAAGCTAACTTCAAGCTCCTGAACTTAGACTCAAGAATGAACCGATTTGGACAAGAAATAAAAGAGATATGACCTTCCAAAGTTGGAATAACA